TTCAATCTAGTATTGTTCAATGTTGTGTACATGCACCAAAAGTAGGTTTTGCAAAAAAAAGAAAAAAAAAACTACTGTAGCAAAGCATTCTAGACGAAAATTCCGTCTAGAATGCTCAAATTCCGTCTAGAATGCTTTAAAAAAATTAAAAAAAATTAAAAACATCAATTTCCGTCTATGATGAGTATCCTAGACCGAAATTTCCGTCTAGAATACTCATCCTAGACGGAAATTTTTTCCGTCTAGGATGTAGTATTCTAGACGGAAATTCCGTCTAGAATATTCCGTCTAGGATGTATTCTAGACGGTTTTGAAATTCATCTAGAATATTCCATCTAGGATGTATTCTAGACGGAATTTCCGTCTAAAATACTACATCCTAGATGGGTATTCTAGACGGAATTCCGTCTAGAATACACAGTCTAGACGGAAATTTGAGTATCCTAGACGGAATTTTCCGTCTAGGATACCATATTTTTTACTTGTGTTTCTAAAAAATGAATATAAATAAATAATAAAAAATAATTAATATTTCAATATGTTCCAAAGTAAAAATTATTGAAAGTGCATATCCAGATACTTAGACTAAAAATAATCAAATATAAATAATTTGAAGAAAAAAATAAGGAAAAAGAACTCTTCTATATAAAATTATATATAAAAAATTAATGTCATCTCTCAAAATTAAAATATTTGTCATAGTGAATTTTAAATAAGGTAAATAAAATATGTCATATCAAATAAATTAACGAACATTATAAAAAGATCTTGTAGAAATCAGTGATACTTTAGGGTATTAAAGTGAGCCTTTTTATGTAAAAATTAGAATAATTATAAGTTCTACTTTCTGTTGCAGGTGCATTTTCACTTGCAATAATGTTAGTTGTTTAAAAAAAAAAATTCTTTTACTTTTGATGGTGTGTCATTAGTTTTTAGATTTTTCAGTCAATGCATGCATGGACTTGCAACATTCGTTGCGGCCAATTGGTCACAACAAATGTATCAAGTTTCTTTAAATTTAATTACTATATACAACCACCTTATTGCAAACCAAACACTGAAAATAAAATTCTGGTTGCAACACATACGGATATAAATACATTTCTTGTTAAACAATTAAGCAGCCCCTTAATGATTCGCATGTTGGATTCTACGCATCTACGATTTGTGGGCCGTTTGGTTCATGGGAAGAGCATTGGGCTTGGCAGGAAAGCCTCGCCAACAGTGCCATTTTAGCAGGCTTTTTGCCAAAGGCCCAATGCCCTTTTCCATTAACCAACGGCCCCTTGCTGAAACACATTCGGAGAGTTCTAACTTTAGAAATTATATTTTATTTCAACAATTGTGCAGAGAGTTTTGATTTTAGAAATTTTACTGTATTTGAAGTGCATGTGTGTGTATATACATCGGCAAGAAAATACAAGTTAAAATTATAGGATGGCACTAGGGGCACACCACCAACCACAACCTCAACCACACTCCCTCTCTCATTTGCTACAGTGCACCGGGCCCCACATGGGATTTTAAAATTTTAAAATCTCATACAGGTTCGGTGCACTGTAGCAAATGAGAGAGGGAGTGTGGTTGAGGTTGTGGTTGGTGGTATGCCCCTATCATTTTCCAAAATTATATATGACATCTAGGCAAATTGAACAGAGTTAGACACCTAAGAATACAATTAATATCCGTAATTGGTTCCCAGTGACCTACACCAACAATGGAAGCCCAACAGATCATTAAATGTACATGTGATTCACTTTCCATACAGAGCTAGCTTTACAAAAAAATTTGAGTCCTACACTTGGAACTCTATATACCTTAGTGGGAAAAATGTTTAATTTTTCGCCAGCTACCTCACGCACATAAATTAAAGAAGAAGAGTAGCGTAAGTTACATATTATATGAATGCATAAATAGTAAGGGTGCATGTGATTGTGGGGCTAAAGGCTGTTGGGGGTAATGAACTCTTTTAGGGTTATCTACATTAGGTTCTAATTACATAATTAAAAAAACCAAGTGTGCTTGAATAGTTTACAAATGCTGCACTAAGCAAAATTAAAATGACTGAGGAATGAAAAGTACTGTTTCTTATAGTAACTAACTACCCTTGGATTAGACGTTGAACAACGGTTATGTATATCACCAACATATATTAGTTTCACTTGGCTTTGTTTTACTTTAAAAGCATAATCCAAATAGTGCATGCTCAAACTTTATTTAAAAAAAAAAAAAAATCATCCGGGCGATCTCCTCTTCTACCAAACTACTGTTCGCTAGCTGTTTCCATTTGAAAACCCTTAACTCATTTCAGGTTAGTAAAATCACACCCTAAACTTTATAATCTCCCCCCCATTAATCCAACATCAAGCTTGTAAGTTTTCCCAACCTGAAACAAATATAATATGCTCACCAAACTCTACTTTCATGTTAAGAACTTTGAGGAGGATGTTACACCTTTCCTCATATTTGTTGCTCTTTTTGTATCATCACTTTATCTAAAAGGATTCAGGTACAACCATGAAAATTTTGAAATGTAACGCTTGAATTTGAATGAAGAGTTGTTGGATGTGAAATTTCAAATATGAATTTAAAGAACTGAACCATAGTTTATCTTTAAACACATAAGGCAAATAAAATCCTATTCAGTACTGGAATGCATAATGAAAAATAAGCTCTCATAGTTGTCCTTCTATCTCAGACTGTTTTAAATATGATATGAACTAGAACATTAGACAAGTAATCATGAATAAACTAAAACAATCCACAATTTATGAGATATCATTTCCATCGACATTGAATTAAAAATTTATCATAGGACCTCTGGTGATCTAATTATATAACTTAACACTGTACTCCTTCTCTTGGCTATTTTCCATAACATGTTCAAATAAAAAATTCTACCCCTTGTCCTGCAAGTTATCAAGAGAAACATACTAAAAATCAGGAACCCTACCATCACTATACTTGTCCTAACCAACTATATCTTCCCTTTCCCACCTTCATAAATAATCCGTACTTCAATGTCCACCTCCGGCAGCAGACCAACGGAGCTCCCTCCGCCTTTTCAACACGTGTCAGAATCTGACAATGGGGTCTGACGACACAAAGGGCACGTGGATTGGGACCCAAGCCACTTGTCAATGCATATGACGTGGTATCCATGTCCACACTGAGGCAAGACTCTAAGCTCCTCGCCCTCCTCAAACTGAGACAAGCAAATTGCACAATCCTCAAGCTTGTGATCCCTAGAAGCTGACATTGAGGCTTGGCTGAAAACGAGCTTAGGGATAAAGTTGAGAGCCCTCTTGTTGAAGCCTCTACTTGAGGCAGACGGGTGGAGCTGTCGTTGGATGCAGCCACAGATCATGAAGGCGACGAAGAGGAGAGTGCTAAGGGAGCAGGCGAGTACGAGGAAGCCTGGGAATTCTAGGAGACTTTTAAAAGGTGAAGGCATTGGTTCATTTGAAGAAGAGATTAGTGGAGAGTGTAGATGGAAGGGAAGTTTGGGACTGTAGAGTGGATATAGTTGAGAGGAGAGAGTTACTGCAGCTTTCACATATTTCTATTGAGAAAGTATCAAGTTGAAGACACACATATAGAATGAACAAAGAATAATCTTGAATTAATGGAACGGCCGTTTGATGTAATATTTTGAAAATATAGAATGTATGCTTCCTGGATTAGTGGATATCACTACAGCACCTGAAATCATCTACAACGGCCGAAAAACGCTATGGTATTATTTCATAGCGTTTTAATCAGCGCTGTGTCAGAACCCGTTATAGTAGGTCTGTGGCTTTACATAGCGCTTTCCCAAACGCTAGCAAAAAGGTTCCAACCATAGCGTTTTTATGTAGGTATAAAAGGGTATTCAATAGCGTTTTTGTATTGCTATGACGAATATCTTTCATAGCGGTTGAAAAATACTATTAATTAGTTTTCATTCATAGCATTTCAACGCTACTATTGTCTTACATTTGATAGCGTTTGAGTTACTACAATGGCATTTCAACGCTACTATTGTCTTACATTTGATAGCGTTTGAGTTACTACAATGGCGTTTCAGCGAATGTTGTCTTTCTTCTTTTAATAGCATTTCAGCAATTGTTTCCACTTCTTATTGCATTTCAGTTGTGCCTATAAACCTTTGAGGTTGAACTAGAAATTGCTTCCAATTATGACAAGCATAAAAGAAAATATTTCATTTAAAGGTTCAAACTGATACATAACCAAGTTGTAGCATACAAGAAGAGTCAACACAAATGTGCCAAAAAACAAATACTAGTCTTTGGATAATCCAATATGGAGTACAAGAAATTAACCATAGTACACAGAACAACAAAAACTAACTTTGTTGCATTACATATGACTTGGGAGACTCATCATCTTTAGCAATTGAGTACTAGTACTGCTGCAAAAACAGAAATTAGCAACACCAATAATGAGATCCTAGAGCCATAAATATATGGACACAAAACAGAAAACAACAGCACCAATAATTAGAAATCCTAGAGCCATGAAGATCTGGACTAAAAACAAAAATCAACAATCAAAATATAAACAACTTTAATGCTAGGGAATAAGCGTTTCAATGTAACCATGTCTATGATGCATCAACTTTAATGCTATCTCGAAAAAGTGAAACAAGTAATGACAAAATCAACTTTTGTGTGCACCTCATCATCTAGAGTCCCATCGATGTCCTTGATAAGCCCTTTCATTAATTCAAATAAAACTTCCACCTAGAACAACAGACATTCATATAATTTTGGAAAACATTTTAAACAGATAAAAATACAAGAAATATGCCTACTTTATCTGCAGTAGATATGCAGGTGTTGTTCTTCATTATACTTTGGATAATGACCACTACCATGACTTTATTTGTAGCAGTGTCAAGATGATCCATGACTTTCGGATAGTTTGAAAGATTCAAAGAAGTGACAATGTCATTATACTTCTCCAACGGAGCACTCAAAAGTGAAAAAAATTTCTTAGTTGCTCTGGTATCCTCAAGCTTTCCTTTGCCTGAAAGTTTCTTAACACATGCACCCTGTTGAGAGAAAAATCAGAATTGCATCAACTAGAGATTTAAACATAACAATGTTTACTTTATGTTATATTTGTCGTCGAAGAAAAGATGTAGTCAGGTGGTCAACAACATTACTTCATATAACCAAGCATATCACAAGGTATTCAATGATATATATCAGAGCCTGAATGGATGCCCTAGCTACTTATTTATATGTCATTTAAACATGAGCTTAGTTTCTTGATAAGGCTATTGTTTATGTGATAATAAATACCATTAAGATATTCTGAAACATACTTGAACTGCAAATACTCTCACACACTCTAGAAAAATATAAGTAATCATACTTACCAGTATTTGATCGACATGATCAAGACGGTCAGGATGAACACGAAGAGTAAACGTAAGGAGCGACACATATAAAGTTATTACTCCAACAACAGGCATATCAACTTGTGCTTCAATGACCTATCAAACAGTTGCATCAAACAAGTGAATAGCATGAAAACAATATCCAACTATTACATTTATTTAGAATCAAGCATAAGTTGTCTTTTGGTAGAAATTTAAAATCCATGTGTTAAAACTACTAATTCAAGCAAACAGTGTGTACATGAGGGCAATAAATTCAGTGCAAGCAAGATTGCGATAAACATCTCGACTATATATTAGAGAGAGATGATATATAAGCAGATAACTTTAAATTTTCTTAGATATGTAAATAATAAAATTTCTCTCTTGAAAGAATCACAATTTGAGTGATGTGAGTTTGTACATGGTTTAATTAGAGAATATTAGTATCTCAAGGTTTGGGCATGCCTTAAATATGGGAAATATATTATATAAAGCTTTGGGTCCATTTCACTGGAAGAAGTAACATAAAGCACTATAAAATAATAATAAAATAATGGATTTAAATACTACATGAATGCACAAAAGGAAACAAGAAAAAAAGGGGAAAAGAATAGTATATGATAAACATTTTCCTTAATATTAATGGTATTCTAGGAAACTATGAACAGTCTCAACAGATCCATGAACGAGAGGATTATGGCATGAAAAATTCTGTTAAATATCCACTGAAATGTTCGAAACAAAATGAAAAACACTTAAATAGTTTGCAAAGTTATTGAACCCATAATTTAAAATAACAAGCAATAGAATGAACCAGAAGAAGCCACACTGACCTGTACCATAATGTCTAAGTTACACTAATTAGACAAGATAAGTACAATTAAGGAGCAAAGTAAACTTGAATATTTTAACTTTTAAGTATAAGAAAAGCAGTGCACTTCCTCGGCTAATTTGCAAATAGGTATACCTTCCCAATAGCATTGCTTAATTTGGCAAAAGCTTCAACTTAAAAGAATTCTGGCAAGACCTACAACACTGATATATCAGCAAGTGAACTTCAGTATGAACCAGATAAATAGCACATTAATGACTCACCTCTGCACTTGAAGCAGCATAATTTGATAATCTGTCCATAAGTTAAGATAGCACTGTCTTGATATCGACTGTTGATTGCATAAAAAATTAAAGCAGTCTAAATGTAGCCCACAGAAGAACTTATTTTAAATCTACAGTAATCGTTCAAACCATAGAATGAACAAAAATACTCATGACAGCTGTGTTGGCCTTCTTGTTTTGATGATGTTTAACAAACAATTTACCACTAATGTTGATTGTCTAGTATTTGTGTTTTCGTATTTATTGTAGACAAACAACGTTGTTGGAGGATGGATGGAATAGCGCTTCAACGACGATATCCAATGGAGGCTGGCGGAATATCGGTGAAGCCTTGCTATTCAAAGTTCAAGATCCAAGTTCAAGCTTCATCCGCGAGATTACCAAGTCAAGTTTATTGAAGATCAAGATCATTGCTTGGGTAATTTAGTTTAGGAATTTATATTATGTGTGTTAGTACTTTAAGCTCAATCATATACACACATACACGTTTTGGTTTTTGTATATATATAGTTATATATATACATATATGTTTTGGTTTGATAGTTTTCAAGTTTTACTATGAAACAAATGAATAGAATTGGAAAATACTATTTTGTTTCATGTTTATATGCCTATATATGATTTCACCTTTAACAAGCTTATATTTAATGAAATCATATTTAGTGTTTTGAATATATTGCATAGAATATGCAATTTTATGAAAAATATTGTATTTCTAGGTTATAGACTTCATAACAACATATTATATCTTTTATCAAGTCTATACAATCATTTCATAAAGTTTCAAAATGTTGTTTAAGTCAAAATATCAAAATATCAATTTTCAGGTTTTCATGTTTTGGGCTATTTTGTAAAATGATGATATTTTTCATTTGGGAAGTCCTTTTTCGAAACCAGTCATTGTAGCATGTTTATTATCATGTCTACAATCATTCCCCAAAGTTTTACATTTTTTGGAATTTATTTGATATTTTTAAACAGCATTTCAAAATCAGATAAACAGTTTTCATATCAGTTTTCGGTCGACCGCACCGGTCGACCGAACCTGAGGTCAAAAGTTGGTATAAATACCCCATTGTCTTCAACTCTCAAGCCAACTAAGAAATGTTTTAAAAGAAAAGAAAAGTTTAATCAAGGGTTTAGGGTTTTACTGTTTGTTTTGAGTTTGGGTTTCTGTTTACAAAGGAGGAAGTTTTCACTGCAGATTGAGGGATTCATTCTCAATCCCCTTCATCCTCTTCTTGTGTTCTTAGAGAAGTTTTCTAACTCATTTCTCTAGCAATTTCATTATTGATTTTCATATTCTTATTATTGCTAGTTTGTTAATTGAGTTAGATTTTATTTTACTCATTGTTACACACACCCACATTGAGCTTATAGTATTTGCATACATAGTATAGTTGGGTGGTGAGAGATTGTAACATTGAGTTGTGCTACATTGTGTTCTCATCTATTGTAGAGAACAAATTTGTTGTATTTACTTTGTGAGTGTTGTAAGGTTTTCGGTGAGCTAGAAACCGAGTGTGTAGTGAGGTTTTCGGTGAGCTAGAAACCGAGTGTGAGGAGTGACGTTGATCGGTGAGCGTTGAAAACCGATACTGTAAGGTGTAAACGTTATTCGGGTGAACGTAGAAAACCCGGTTGATAGTGGATTTCTCCCCGGGAGTGGGGAGCGGAGACGTAGGACGGAAGGTCCGAACTCCGTGATCATATCGCTTGTTTGAGTTTGTCTTTGGCGTATTTGTTTTTGCATTTATTTTATATCGCCAATTGTGCATTGCTCATTCACTTTATCCACTATCTTGTTTAGATGGTTTATCCCTTGTGTTAGTTTATATATCCTTGCATATATATTTCATCATATAGGATATATCTTATTGTTTACATTGCTTATCCTAGCTTACAAATACTGTTGTATTTCATACTTGCTAGGATAACGTATTAATCAATTTTAATTGGCATTTAATCGGATTAGATTAGCATAAGACCCTAATCACCCCCCCTCTAGGGTCTAACAATTGGTATCAGAGCTTGGTGCTCTTTGATTTAAGGTCTAATCGCCTTGAGTTAAAGATCCAAGTTAGCTTATTGTGCTAATCTAATTTTGAGCTTTATTTGTATCTTGCTTGCCTTTTATATTATGGATATGCATGGTTTAGGTTATGCCATTAATATTACTCCTAGATTAGATAATTTCCCCTATGCCCAATGGTGTGTTAGATTTAAACTTTTTGTTCAATCTAAACACTTTGATTTATGGGAAATTATAGATGATGCTTATATTGTGCCCATTTTGGAGAAATCCAAGTGGAATAAGAATGATCATCGTATGTTTACAATGAACAATATTTTGTTAGAATATTTGCTAAATGCTTTTAATTCATCTATGTCTAACAAGTTTGTTCATTTTGATAGTGCTTACACCTTATGGATATTTATAGAAGCACATCAAGGAGACTTGGAGGCGATCCGACAAGCTTTGGAGGATCCCGCTTCAAGTTCATGTGGAGCATCATGCACACGGCCACTAGGCGATAGCCCTAGTGAGGTTTGCGAGTTCGAAACCATAAATGATTTACCTAATGATGAACTTGCTTGTGCTAGTGAAAAATTATTACATGCCTTTAACAAATTGCAAAATGATTTCATTAATTTACAAAGCAAGCATGAAATTTTGAAATCCGATCATGAGTTGTTAGCATCTAAGTTTGAAACTATTTCTAATGAAAATGTGATCCTTAAAGAAAACAATGAAAAATTAAAATTGGATCATGTTTCTTTAACTTCAAACGTTGCTAGTTTAACTCATGAAAGAGATAATGCCATGTTAGAAGTAAAGAACATACAAAATAACACTGCTTCTTTTATAAATGACTACTTATGTTCTACTTCTAAAAGTGCATATGTGCCTAAAAATGAAGACTTGAATCTTATGAAAAATTGCATTTCATCTTTAGATTCAACTTTGAAAATATGCATTAATAACCATAAGAAGCTTATGAACATTTGTGCCAAGACCAAATCAAAATCATCCACTCATTATGCACACATGTATAGCAAAACTTATAAGTGTTCTATTTGCGGCCGTCAAGGTCATTTAGCTAAGTTTTGTTATGATGCACACAAACATAAGAATTCTAATGCTCCTTGTGCATCTCATGTAGCTTCTTCATCTTGTACACTTACACATTCACATGCTCATTCTCACAAAGTTCATCATAAGCATGCTAGTGTGTTCAAGTGTGATTATTGTGGTCGTTTTGGTCATTTGGCCAAATATTGCTTTGATTTGAAAAGAAAATCTCATTTGACAAATGCTTCCAATAGACCACATGTTTTTAAATGTGATGTTTGTGGTAGGTTTGGACATCTTGCTAAATTTTGTTTTGATATACAAAAAGCTTCTAAATTGCAATATGTTCCAAATAGACCATTGTTTAAGAATGTTTCTCATTTGCAAAATAATTTTAAAAGAAAATCTTTATTTGCAAATGATTCCCGTGCACGAGCTAATGGTCCACAAAAACAAATGGATCTCTTTCATTGCACAAATTGCAATCGGAAGGGTCATTTGAATGAATATTGTTTTGACCATGTTAGTGCACCATATGTGCCTAAGAGGGTTCATAACCCTAAGGCTTTGAGCTTTAATGATAGGGGTCATGTCCCTAAATCTTTTGGTACCAAGAGTTCTTGGGTACCAAAACAAATTTAAATTTTAAACCAAGAATTTTAGTGTTCATACTTTTTCCTTTCTTGGTTTTAAAATTATGTCTTAAAATATTTTGATTATGAAAATAAATTTATAATTGATAAAATCTTTTGTTTTCATGATTATTTGTTTTGTTTTGATGAGAGGTTTGTACTTATATAACCCTCCGGAGTTATTGGGTGTTTATTCCCAAACATTGTTTACCGGGTGCTAAAAATGTTCATATGGGTTGATACTAGCTCAAGAGCTAGATATAATTACCTCTCTTGATTTTTAAAAATCAATGATGATTTGGTTTTATGATTTAAACTTTGATTTATGATTTCAATTGGTTGATTTGTTTTCATTTGAAAACTTTTTACATGATTCTCATGTTTCTCTTCTTTTGATTTCATAAATCTATTTTATACATTGGCTTTTATGATATGAGACAATATGTTCATCTTGATATACTTATATATGTTCTCATTATCTCTGAATGTGAGTGATTTTTGGCATATTATTTATGCTTGCTCACATGTTTGCCATGATCTTTTATTGCTTATATTTCATATGGCTTTTTGATAGGGGGAGCTATTCCCTATAGTTGCTTTGTACTCACCTATGCTTATTGATAGGGGGAGCTTTCGCTCTCTTCATACCTTTGTCCCCTTTTTGATGTTGTCAAAGGGGGAGAAATATTGTGAGTATATCTATCTTGTTTGTTTATATGCATGTGAATTATTATCTTGTATATGTTCATTTCCTTCATGCATATATTCCTTTTTGTAAATTGTTTGTCATCATCAAAAAGGGGGAGATTGTTGGCCTTCTTGTTTTGATGATGTTTAACAAACAATTTATTACTAATGTTGTTTGTCTAGTGTTTGTGCATTCCTATGTTTTGTAGACAAACAACGTTGTTGGAGGATGGATGGAATAGAGCTTCAACGATCATATCCAAAGGAGGTTGGCGGAATGTCGGTGAAGCCTTGCTATTCAAAGTTCAAGATCCAAGTTCAAGCTTCATCCGCGAGATTACCAAGTCAAGCTTATTGAAGATCAAGATCATTGCTTGGGTAATTTAGTTTAGGAATTTATATTATGTGTGTTAGTACTTTAAGCTCAATCATATACACACATACACGTTTTGGTTTTTGTATATATATAGTTATATATATACATATATGTTTTGGTTTGATAGTTTTCAAGTTTTAC